TCTTATCTCTTGCATCAATTTACTGCGTTTTTCAAATCTCTATTGAAATCTATGTCAATTACTATGATCAAACGAGTTGGCACCGAATAAAACTTGACACAACGTACTAAACGCCGTTAGAAAAATTTGAGACAACTGCTTTTCTTCAAAATGCAACAGACAATAAATATCTATGTACCCTTAAAATTTTTCATCTCAGAAAAATGGCTTAAAAATCTTTTAATATAGACAATTTTGTAGAGTTCGACGAGCTCTATCGAACCATATAAAAATATCAAAAGAAAATATTTTACTCTATATTTGAATTGCTAACATCTTAATTTTCTATGCCAAAAAAAGCATAAGATTTCCGAAAATTTCGTAAGTTCGACATTAAAAGATTTTGGTAACTCTTACTATTTAGTAGTAATAAATCTCGTTTTTGACGCACTTTAATTTGGTATAAAATTCATTAAGTATTCAACTTTCAATCATAGCGCTACCCGCTAGCAAAAGATTATGCACAAAGCTGTATATAGTATAAAAGTGCATTGATACAAACAAAATTAAAAAAGATTTTTTCGCTTGTTGCAACATTCCTTATGCAAGATAAAAATGTATTCATGGGCAGATAGAACTACAAAAAAAATAGAGTAAAGATTTCAATGAGCGAAAGAATAATTACAAAAGTGTTTTCTTCTATGCGATCCATTTATTCATCCAATCAAATACTTCTTGATGGTAGATAAGTGAATTGAGTGGATTCAGTATTCCATGATTTTCTGTAGGAAAATAAATAAAGCATTCGACTTGGAATACCACGTCGTTTTAAGGTTGCAAATGTACTAATTCCTTGTGTATTAGATACACGATAATCATCACCACGATGAATAACTAACATTGGTTGACTCGAATTTGCAACATGATTGACAGGATTAAATTTTTCAAATGCATCCGGATTTTCATAAGGAGTAAAAACCACCGACATCATGTTCAATAAATCTCACTTCTTCCATTGAATAAGCCATTTTTTCTTAGATTAAATACACCAGCATCAGAAATGAGTGTTTCGAAACGTCGACTCCTTTCTCGATGGCCAGTAATTCAATTGACCATATAACCATCATGACTACTACTTAATGCTACAGCTCGATTTTCATCAATGTAAATATAACGTTGTAAAACTTCTTTAAGTCCTATTTGTAGATCTCGATAACGTAATGTACCATATTGATCTACAATACTATCAATGAAATTTTGTTCATATGAATCACATCCATGAAAATTAATAGCAATAACAGCGTAACTTTGTAATGTGTAAATATTTGAAAATTAAAAATATAATTCCATGCATCATATCAACTATATTGTGGACCACTATGAATAAAAAAAAAGCAAGTGGAGCTTTTTCAGCTGTACTATTTACTGGTTGTATATGTCATCCCCATACTGTTTCATTTTGCGCACCTATAAAATTAAATGTTTCAACTGCTGTACTCATTCGTACTTTATCTAAGAGATTATTATTGTGAATGATAATAGGTCGTATGGATAAATATTAACATCATGTGGGTGAGTGGGTGTGGGGTGCTGGTGTGGGTGTGGGTGGGTGTGGATGTGGTTCTTCTTTATACATTCATCACACTCACACCCACACCCAAGCCCCACACCCCACACACACACCCACACCCCGTACACCCACACCTTCACCCACCGATAGTTTCTGACCCACTTACTGATCCATGCTGGATTTTGAAAAAATAATCAGTTTAGCGGTACGGGTGCATACCATTGGGTGGGTGTGGGTGTGGGTGTGAGTGTGATGAATGTATAAAGAAGAACCACATCCACACCCACCCACACCCACACCCACACCCACACCCACGCCCACACCCACACCCTTAATTATTGTGATTTTAAAAATATGACATGTCAGAATAATGGCATTTGTCGACCATTGTTACTGAATTAAACATGTGAATGTCTTGGTAATAATTATTATTCTGGTCGTCATTGTGAAATAACATCGAAGAAAATACTTATTTTTAAATTTATTTCAAAATCATTTTCTTATATTGTAATCATTGCTATGATTATTGTTGCAATGGTTGTTGTAATCATGGATGTATTATAATATTGTTTTGGAATTGATTCAGTCTCTAAAGAGCGACGAAGAATTCGAGAAGAAAAGCAAATGGCAAAACGAAAACGACCTGTTATTCATCGATTAGTTTATGTAAATGCACCATCAAAACAATCAGCAACGAATATTCCCATTAAAACTATGAAAGAAACAACTGTTTAACAAAAAAAAACAGACATTTCATGACTTGATCACGTATACTCATTTGTTTTCATCCGTTCGGTAAATGTGTTACTAAGATATACGTCAGTTCGATGCGAGCATTAAAAAGAGTTCTTATAATGACGTGCTTGTATTCTCTTCTGTTGTTTTTTCATCCGATGCAAAATAAGAAAAAAAATCGAAAAGAATCCTAGATGTGACAATCAGAGCCTATTCCATGTGATTCTTGCTCAAATAAACTTATTTCTTTTTGTGAAAGGATCATACGATTGTGAAATATCATTAAAGTTTGCGTTAACGTGAGACATAATGAAGAATAGGCAAGTGATTCTTTTAGTTTTTGGATATCTGATCAGTTTATGGCATAGCACTTTTGCGAATGAACCGGCCAATGTGACGAAAACATTTACATCTAGCCAAACACTCTTTGCTAATCCTGAAAGAGGATGGATTACACATCGATTTGCGAATGATCTTTATGGAGTTAATAGTCTGCGCGAAAGTGCTGAAAAAGTATCATTAGTTCTGATTAAAGTTGACATATCAGCTTACAAGAATAGTTCACATATTGGACAGAGTAAACTCAATGAAATTCGTTCAGCACTCAATACTTGTCGTCAACAAGGTTTAAAAGTTATCATGCGTTCTGCTTATTCTTGGGATTTAGTTCTTGCTCCAGAGCCAAAAAACATTGAAACTGTTAAAATCCATATTATGGATATGAAACCAATTTATTATCAATATGAAGATATTATCGTTGCTGTCGAAATGGGTATGTTTGGACCATGGGGTGAAATGCATTCATCATATTTTAGCACTACTAACACGCAATTCTATTATCCCATTAAAACTACTGCACTTCAACAAGTTCATAGCACGTACATGTCAGCATTACCAAATACACGCTCAGTCCTTCTTCGTACACCATATTATATTCGTCAAATCTTCAATAGTAATATACCTCTTTCATCTGCTGAAGCTTACAGCGGCATTCCGAAAGCACGTACTGGTTATCACAATGATGCTTACCTTGCCAGCAGTGATGATGAAGGCACTTTTTCTTATGGATGGTCACGAGCTCAAGAACTTGCTTATATTAGCCAAATGACGCGCTATGCATTTTTTGGTGGTGAATCATTCGGTGCTCCTAATAGTGCATATAATAAGGCTCAAAATGCCATCTTAGAATCGAAACAACAACATATGACATATCTTCATCGAGATTATTATAAACCGATTTATAATGCATGGGGTACTGCAGGAAAGGAAGAATTTACACGTAAATTGGGTTATCGTTTTCAATTAAAAACTCTTTCCTATTCAAAAGAAGTAGCACCCGGTGCAATACTATCTTTTTCTTTGAAAGTACAAAATATTGGCTTTTCAGCAATGCATTTAACAAGACCTGTAAAATTAATACTTGATAATGGCAAAACAGGTAGTGCACGTATTACATACAACACGAATCTCAGTGTGGATCCTCGAAAATGGACACCTGAAGCGAATATCATCAGTATTGATCGTAAAATTCGTATTCCAGCAAATATCAGTCAGGGTGTTTGGCAATTACTTTTAATTTTACCTGATAATAATACACGTTTACAAAGTGATGTACGCTATACAGTTCGATTTGCCAATGAAAATATTTGGAATACTGATGGAACACATGTATTAACCAAAGATATTTCTATCCAAGCTTCAGCTTCTGGATCACGTACTAATGATAACGTATTTCAAGAGGTTACAATTTAAAATAAGTAACAGTTATTTATCTGAATGTCTTTATAAGTATGTTTCATGATACACATTGATCAAGATTATATACTTCATTTTTCACTATTTGTTGCGAGTGTGTGTTGGAATGTTTATGAAGAAAAGATATCCATATCCACCTTACATTCAATAAAATCAATAATAATAGAAGTTTTTGACCCTTGTACAAACACATCTGAGTTACACTTTCATCTTGAGGGTGTGAGGGTGTGGATGAAGAAGAAATACACTCACATCGACATTGTCTGTATTGAGGAATCTTAGAAAACTGGTATTTAGAATATAAATAGCTCACTATGACCTGCAAACGCTGAAAGTTTCATACGATTCAGAAATGGTCGATGTCAATCTGGTTGTAAATTCATGGATTGAATCAGCACTGTACGGAGAAATTTCGCCAAAAGGATAATATTTATTTTAACAAAACATATTCTATTATCCATATTATTTATTCCCTTTCCTGAAAGAAAGGGTCTTACATTGAAAAAATGTATGTACATGTGTCCGGCAAAACTAAACTTAGATTTTAAAAATTAAAGTTAAATTAAACTGAGCTTTACGTTATTAGTGATTCGATCAGAATAGCAATATTTTAATTTTTATCTGTTTCATTCAAGAATATACAATAAATTTGAAATATAAAATCCGTGAATTTTGTTTTCTATCGAAGCTACCATTACGCTGAGAAAGATTCAGAGTTCGCTAATTATTTTCTATAGGAAATAGTAAAAGATTTTGGAAGATGTAGAGTTCACTAGTCTTTTTCTTTGAAAATAGTGATTAGTTTGAGGAACATATGGAGTTTGGTGATTGCTATTGTAAGTGAATGATCTTAACCTAAAATATGTTTAGCATAGAGCGGCGTTTAAAAACTAGTAGTAGCAATCGTCTATTTATGACACTTTGGTAAATTCATGGGTGTGGTTGTGGGAGTGTGGGTGAGGGTGTGGGGGTGTGCTGTGGGGTGTGGGTGTGGGTGTGGATGTGAGTGTGAGTATGAATTGGATAAAGATGCATCCACACCCACACCCACACCCTCAAGTGCAACAAAAAAATAATAAACAGGGAAATCCCACATCTTCACCTCACTAATCGTATGACCTGCTTATTTGTAAATGTAAATTATGAAAAGAAAAAATTTACATGTATAATAAATACAGATTATTCATAATTTAAGTTACTCGGAAATCAATTCAAAGAAAATGTAAATTAATACACCTAAGTGTGGCGAACGGTATTGGTACCTGTGTCAAGCGAACATACACCTAGATCCAGACCCAGACACAGACCCAGACCCACACTCACACCTACACCCACACCCACACCTAGACCCACACCCACACCCACACCCACACCTACATCCACACCCACACCCAGACTCACCCACAAGATATATCGTTCTTATCGTACCTTTATAGTTAAATAGAAAAAATAAGAGATTACACCATCACAAGAAATTCAATGACATATCATACACAACAGAATACTTAAGAGATAACGCAGAATTTGAAAGCGCACACATTTCTCTGAAACATTTTCATTTCACACATAACAACATCAATCTCTGCGACGATGAAACCTTCGCTGCTTACGTTACCCGTCGAATTGACTTATCGCATTCTCGATAACCTCGAACCAGAACAAATTTTCTGTTCATGCCAGAATGTTTGCAAAAGGCTAAATGATATTCTATATACGTATCATCCATATCAGGTAATTCTAGGTTTTATTATAAAGTCATACTTTTATCACCTTCTAAATACATCATTATTTTCTTGAAAATATATTATCTGATTAATTTTCTTGTTTCTAATTTCAAAGAAGGTTATTTCCTACAATGGTGTTCTATAATTTGATGCATTGTATGAACAAAAAAAATTCAGAGAATTACAGACTTCTAAAAATACTATACAATGGTCTATTTAATTTCAATCTGAATTTATCAAGAAAAAATGGCAATTGATTTCAAACTGAAATAGGAGTCTAGAGGGTCTTCTAATTTGAGGATGTGAGTGGGAGGGCAGGAGAAGTGAGGGTGAGGGTAGGGTGAGATGACGGTGTGGGTGAATGTGTGCTTGGGTGGGACTAGGTGAGATTTAGCGGAAATATGCGGTAATAGGGAAGATCAGATAGGACTAGGTAGCAGCAGGTGACAATCGAGTCGGTTAGAACAAGTTGTTGTGATTTTTGATTTTAAAATTCAATTTGAAATGAAAATGACCCTAGACTCAAAAATACCGAGAAACATCCGACAACTGGTGATGGATTGTTCTTTTTCTTCCACCTAATTAAAACAAACTTGAAATACTTTTCAAAATATATATAGGTTAGTTTTGCACTAAAAACCTGTATTTTACATCAGTTACCATTATGAAAATCTTTAATAGAAACTTATCAGCATTCACCAGAATTTGGGTTTCCTTGTCATTGCTGCAAACAAACTAGATTTCAACAATGATTTTTTCACTGCTATAGCATGGTGGCAACTTACGAGAGAAGATGACCAAGTGTTTACTCGCTATTGAGCTGACATTCAGTTGACTGGGCATAATCGAGCATGTTGATTTCGAATTTCATGCTGGTTTGGTCTATTTTTGACTTTAAAGACCCGGTTTTTGAAAATCAAGATCTTCGCAAACCAGGCCTTTAAAGTCAAAATTAGCCCT